CCCCCCCCCCCCCCCCAAAAGTAATTTTGTCCTAATATAGAGATAAATGTCTTGTTTTAAAGTACAATGCCCTTTAGTTTTCTGAATGAAATGAGGATATCTGGGGTGAATTTTTTTTTGAAATTCTTTTCAGTCAAGTCCCACATCTGGTTAAGAAAAGCTAAGTGATAAGACAACATTAAGCCCACTGTCACTTCTGCACTAGACAGTGGAGTCCTGGCCTTGTCATCCAGTGTAATGGGTAAGACTGGTTGTCATCACAAAGATTTAAAACCTTTCTCCCACCCACAAACTCATGCACATGCACTATAATGTTCATTAAGCTTATTGTCTTTTTCAAGTTTAATTAATAGTAAAAAGAGAATAGATGACCCCACAAGAATGAAATGTGCCAAGATTTTGTGCAAATCTCTTGAATGGGGAAACCAAGGTAAAATACTATTTTATCAATCCCCCCAAATTAATGGGTTTTCCCAGAAGAGATCATAGCTATAAAAAATATGTGGGTTCACTAATAAGAACCTTTAATCTCTCAGCACCACTGGGTAGCTTCTTTTTATTACTATCTTTAAACCAAAAGTGAAGCTGGTTAAAAATTTAGGCCTTGGCAACATAAACACCATGTCAACCATGATATTGCCACAATCATAGCTTTAATGTAGTTTGTCATGTAGCATTTCTCAGCTGTGGGTCAAGAGTTTGCATGATTTTACTTCTGCTATGGGAAAGGCAGGGTGTGTCTGTGTGTCTATGTGTGAACAAAAGAAAAGGAAAGAAAAACAAAACAAAAATGCACAATGCACTATGCTGGAAAACGAGTATGCTGTATCTATTGCTGTTCTCCGTGGTAGGGAGAAAAATGGTTTGTTCCATATGATTAATAAATCTGCATTTTTCTTTCATACAGGTTTGGCGAAAATGTAAAATGAGAATTTTCACTGTAGCCCAGATGGATGACAACAGTATTCAAATGAAGAAAGACCTTGCTACATTCCTTTATCATCTTCGAATAGAGGCAGAGGTGGAGGTGGTAGAAATGGTAAGGCCCTGATACTATTTCTTCTTAATAGTTTGAATGCTAGTATGCTGCATGATTACACAAGGAAATGTATGTCTGTCTTTTGCAGCATAACAGTGACATCTCAGCATATACCTATGAGCGAACGCTAATGATGGAACAGAGATCTCAAATGCTGAGGCAAATGAGACTGACCAAAACAGAGAGGGAAAGGGAGGTATGTCATTCATTGTGTGCCACTGTAGAAAGAGCCAAGGTGGATGATTCAAAATATTTTCCCTGACAGCATTTCATTTAAACACTTTAATCTGACACTAACTTGTGTCCCCACAACATAAAGTACTATATATGCTTATTTTTGTGTGGCTTTTTCCATAGTACTGTCTCAAAACTGGATACATTTTCATAAGCTAACATATTGGAAGCTCCTAATTCAACCATGCTATAGAGATGCTTAATCTTAGGACAGAATGTGTGTAAGCATCAGTAAGCTGGAAAAACCTTTTGGCCTCTTCCCTCATCTTCAATTAACTGATTAGCAAGGAGCTTGTCCCTTGTTTAGGTGGGGTATCATAAGCTTGTTTCACTCTGGTATATCTTATTTTATCCCATTTTAGAGCCCATTTGTCTTCTGACCTACCTTTTTATTGCAGTAAAAGAGAACTAGAAAAGTAGTTAGCTTGTGAATGCAGGATTCAACTTTCACTTTACAGGCCCAGCTGGTAAAGGATAGACACTCAATAATCCGACTGGAAAGCCTGTACTCAGACGAAGAAGATGATGGAGACTCAGTACCCGAGAAGATTCAGATGACTTGGACAAAAGAGAAATGTGACTTTGAAAAACGGAGCCGAAATAGCACAGTAGAAAACTTTAGAGAACTGATCAGCATTAAACCGTGAGGCTTGCTCTTCTTTGTATCTGTCTGTCTTAAGATAAAATCTGATTGTACTTCTGCCCCTTCTATTCCATTCCTAATTAGAAACAAAGCAATTTGAACATTAAAAATCACTGCAGTGCTGCATAGGTCTCTATTACCTCAACTAAGTCTTGGTGATGGAAAATCAGCAGAGCTAGTCACCACTGATCACCCAGTGTACCTGTAAAACATAAGTAAGCAACAAAAACTCCCTAGAAATGGCACTTGAGTTGTAGTCTTGTATAAGAATGTAGAAATTTTTATTTGTAACCAATTTATATATCTAGCTCAGTGTCCATCTAGAACCAGCTGGGTAGAAATTAGGATGTTATCAGTCTGATGTTCTGCTAAGTATTACTTAGTGAGAATCTTTATGTCTAATCTAGGTAGAATGAGCTAGAGGTGGTTTGCTATGTAACATGGAATTTCTATTGAATTGCACGGTTGCAGTTGAGTTTAATTGCATATACTCTTGTCTCTTTCATGCTTTCAGAGAGTGGGAAAACCTGTAAGTTTATATGTAATTGTTCAAAAATATTTTTCTGTGGACAAGAGTGAGAATTTTTAACTTTCCTTGAACCTCATGCAACTATATTAATTTGGCCTGGTCCTACCTGTTTGATGTTGAGAAGAGCTGTGCCATTTCCATTTAAAAGGACTGAATTTTGGTCCTTAAATTTTAGGGAAAAATACCTTAGAAATATTGCAAAACAAATTCTTCAGGAGTTATATTAAGGAGAACTAACTCAGAAAGAACAACAACATCATCAGTTGTTTTCAAGAACAGCATTCTTCATTTCAAGAGGCAAAACATTTTGTAGGAGTATCTTTTATTGGATTAACTACAAGGTTGGAATAGATTTAGAGCATCTTTCAAATGCAAGGCATCTGTCTTCATGTCTGGAAAGGGATGCCCTGCATTTCAAAACTTGTCTAAATCTATCCCAACTCTGCAGTTTGTCCAATAAAAGATATCACCCATAAAAATTCTGTCCTCTCACCTATTTCCTGGACTCTCCCAGATACAACATCACTCCTAACAATAAAGTCTCCTGATTTTGACCTTTCACAAAAACATGGAAAGTTCTAAATTTCATTTGAACTGGGCCTGGCCGCTGTGGTCACTTGATGCACAAATGGTTTATTAGGAGTTCTTCAAAATAAGACTGTGGCAATCCTGATCAAACTATGGACCACATAACAACACTGCCCTCTATACAAATTTGATGGTGGCATTGTAGAGATACATTCCCTTTCCTCAAGAATATTAGACTGGTTAATTAACCTTAAACTGAAGTTATAATTGTTGCTCCAAGTCAGCCATATGAAAGAGAGAGAGAGAGAAAGAGAGAACATCACTCCAGTATTGCCTTCTTCGTTTTAGGGATGTTTTAGGTTGGAGTGCCATAGCAGAAGGTTGGAAAACCAAGATTTTGGCAGTGGGAGAAAGCACAAATTCAGGATGGTGCCAACATTGAACCTAGCTCAAATATAGTATTCCAAGGACACTGCTGATTTGCTTTTGTATGTAATTGCTATGTGTGTGGCAGTGCACCTTTCGTGCCTGTCACTTGAAAGGCAGGAGCAGGCAGCCACCAGGTACCTGATTGGGGTGGCCATTTTCAAACATAGGTCAGAGAGGCAGCAGTCTCTGTTGAGTAGCCAGGAGGCAATGTTGGGCTGAGCTGCTCCTGGAACACCTTGGAGGTAAGGGTGAGGCTGTGAGGACAGAGGGGGACCTCATTGGTCCTGAATATGACCTGAAACTGTACCCTGCCAGGATAGGGAGGCCTGGTGGGACTGCCCATTTTGTGGCAATCCCACTTAAATACCAGGACTGTGAATCCCCCTGGTGTAAGGCAGGTTGGGGTGCCTAAACCCCAGGCCCCACCTTCAGGTGGGTTACTAAGAGGGAGGAGTGGGGCCAGGCATGGCTATGGCCACCTGAACCCATAGGGGTGTAAGACCCCAGAGGCCCCGGGGAGGGGATAGTTGTGTGGCCCCAGAGAGGAGGCAGTTGTGGAGCCCTAGAGAAGAGGGCAGTTGAGAGACCCTGAGAAAGCAGGGGTGTCGGTGGGCACGCTCAGCGTAAGATGCGTCTTCATGACCTGAAGGACTGGGCGTAATTCGGGGTTGAGTAGGGCTAAAGGGACGGTCTGAAGGGCAGCCTGAGGGGGTGTGTTGAGTAGGGCTGAATGATGGCCAGAAGGACAGCACATGGGACAACACCCATAAGATCTTGGTGTTGTGTATAAGAAGCCTGGTGAGGGGCTAAGGCAAAGTAGGCACTCCATTTGGTGAATTGGCTGGCACTACCCAGGTGGGGGTTGTGGGAGAGGCCCTAGAGACTGCATGTCACCAGCCAATGTGTGATTCGGATAAGCCTGATGGCCAGAAGGGTCACTCTAGGAGAGAGTAGTGCAGAGTGGAGGGGGACAGTATGGCGAGCAAAAGAACCTGTGAGAGGGAGTATGAGAACATCTTGGATGCCATCTGCAAGGCATGGGCCACGGTGTAGGGAAGGTACAGAGCTGTGGATAGTGCCCTCTGGCATGGGGGAATGCAATGAGCAGCCTCCTGCATTTACCAACAGTTTATTGTAATAGCAAAGTCGTGGCAGGCAAGACTGGGCAGACTGCCCTATGTAGACAGGTGGGCAGGTCAACTTGAGTCTAGACCCCGAGCGTGCCCCTTTCACAATGTGTTTACTCTTTAATGTTTATAATAACTGCTGGGCAGCTTAAAATGAGCTTTTTCATGTTTTGCTTTATACACATTCCCCTCCCTATCCCCAATGAAACCCAGCAAAACCAGTGTTCCCAGACAGCACAAATTGGGATTGTAGCAAATAACTGGGCTGGAGGAACTGTTCCTGCGTGCCTGGCATGTTGTTAAGGATACTAAGGCTATGGCAGCAACAGGTTCTGGGACACTGTAACTGCTGGAGTAGGGAATACTTCTCTATTTTATTTTCAGTATAAAAGTGGTTGGTATCCAACTAGGTGCTGGGAAAAGCTTTTCCTGAAAGTGTGATTGATGAAACGAACATGAAGTTCTCAGATATAGGTGTTCAGCTTTTTAATAGAGTATGATGTGGGATTCCTTTATTGTTTCAGTTAGAACAAACTCTTATTGGCTAACACAGCTATAGCACTGTTTCTAGAGCTTTAGATTAGATGCCTGCACAACAGATATTGTAATCTGCTCCACTCAGTAGGTAGGTGTCTGTTTAAAGATCACCTTGGAAAATACAGATTTTCTGGTTTCCCATGACGTTCCTTGTAAAAGGGATGTTCTTGGTTTCATTATCTTCTATTTTATCCCATTCTTAAATAATGTTGTGCTGCAGCATTTTGAATAATTTCCTGAATATTTTTGGAAGTTTACCATATTTCCTCACATACAAACCCCCTAGGAATATAATATGTACCTTGTTTTTAAAAGGCAGAATGAAGGGGAAAAACGTTTTTCCAGGGTTATGGCTGTATAGAACATGAACAGAGTCCATTTTTTTTAGCTGATTCACCCTCCTTTTCAGCTCACTAGCCTCCCCTAGCTGCTGCTGAAGATAGGTTTCCATTAGTGAATCTGTGATTTTGAAAAGAGCTAAAGAGTCTTTAAGACTGTGAAATAGGAGAAGAGAACCCAGACGCCTGAGACAGCAGAATTGCCCTAAGAAAGGTTAGCTTGAGTAGTAGAACTTCAAGATCCTTAAAAAGAAGAGACAATCATTAATAGTTCTGGAGTAAAGAACAATGAGCCATTAAATCAACTGACTTGAATGATAATACCACAACTACTGCACTGTGGAACAGGAATTAAAGCAGGATGTTTCTCTCCTGGGCAGAAAATCAGCTTCTCTCATTTAATACATGCACCCCAGTTTTGGAGGGCTGAATTTGGGGGAACAATGCATGTTGTATGCAAGAAAATATGGTATTTCCCAAAGAAAGCCCACAGACATAATCTGAGTGATCAAATCCTTTGGGTAGAAACATAAATCCTTTAAATAACATCTCTTACTCATGTCTTTACTGTTTTTTTGTAGTATTTGAGTGCTTTAGTTCATTAATTTAAGTCAGACTTTTTGATATTTCAGTTCTAATATAAGGGCACAGCAGAGATTACTTAAATAATCTCTGTTGTTTTTAAGAATGGAAAATCACTCTGGACTGTAGACCTAATTCAGTTTCGATCTGGTCCAAGGCCCCTTGGAAGCTGATACAAATTTTTACGTGGACTTCAATGAATAGATTAGTTTTGTGTTTGTATTGCTGTATCGGTTTTAAGGTTAAAGCGATCTATAAGTATGTGCCTAAGGGAAACCGAAGATAGTGGAGGAAACGTAGACTAAAAGAGTTTTGTTCTTGGAACATTGATTTCAAAAGGCTTAAGCATTAGCATAAGCCCATTTCATTGACTTATAATGAACTCTAAACCCTATATAGCTTTTAAAATAAATTGGAGAAAAGAATGCATGTTTGTTAGATGTAGTGTGTAAGAGTGATGTTGTAGCAATGATGGTCCAGAAATTATGCGAGAGGTAAGGATTTCTTAGGGTAATATCTTTTATCGGACCAACTGCACATACTTGATATAAAGTTAGACAAGCTTTTGAATGGAAGACACTTTTCATCAAGTTTAACCAGTTCAAACCAAGTGCAGCATAGTTGCCATTCTATTAACATTGCAGAGCATTTTAATGGGGATTTTCTTTTTCAGTTCAGTTTAAAGAATTTTTTCCTAACAACAAATATGAATGCAATTCTTCAACAGGAATCAGTCTAATGTCAGAAGAATGCACACGGCTGTGAAGCTGAATGAAGTCATTGTAAATAGATCCCATGATGCTAGACTTGTTCTTCTCAACATGCCTGGCCCTCCAAAGAACACTGATGGTGATGAAAACTGTATCCTTGCAGGGAAAGCTAAGATCATATACAAAGTATATGCCTTTCTATCTCACCTTGATTCTTATGCTTCTGCTTGTAACAAGCTTGCTGCTTTAATGCCATGAGAGTACTAAATTATAAATACTTAAATGAAACGTTACCACTGTCTGTCTTATCATACCCTGGATGCCTTGCTCCCTGGAATTGGTCAAACAATCTGACAATCTCATCTACACTTCTCTAGATTAATATTTTCCATGGCCTGTATAAGCTTAGAATCTGGCAACAACGAGGAAATTAAACAGATGAGAGTCTTGCCAGCTACAGAAGAAGGCTAAACATTTTGACATTACCTAACTTGGGAATGATACTTCCAAGGAAGCAATAGCTATTTTTCTCTTTTTGTATTTTGAAGCATTTGAGTGAATAAAAATAATTTCTTTACAAAAAAACAACAAGGAAATAGTTGGAAGGTGGTTAACTTTGACTGGAGTCTGAAGATTTCCTTTGCATCATAAATAAAACAAACCAGAGGGTCCACTTCTGATATGGTACCTTCTGATTCTCAGTTTGCCCCATATTGGTAATGCCATAATGAATAAATTCAAGTTGATTTGTAGAGCCAGAGGCAACTTTTGGAGTGCATCACATTGTGCAAGGAAGCTAAAAACATTTCTTGAAGTCATTAAGAACACCCTCAGCATGAGTGGCTTGGTATTACATGCCGTTTGGTTTAGGTTTTGTATTAGTTAACTGTATTAATTTCCCCCCTTTGTGTGACTCAAAAGCTTACGGAACAGAAGTAACACAGGAGAAATCTGTAGTGCATGTTGTCTATGAGCTCAGATATTCCTTTGCTTTCCCCATCTCCTGCTACAGTTTGGATTAAAATTTTGTTTTAAAAATTCCAGTTCAACTCCTGCTCCATCATAAATCCACTGTATATTAAAAAATGAGAAGTGTTGGAAAGCTGGCTAGAACATAGCTCAAGCATGATTCCCAATGAACCATGTTCTAATGTAGTTCGTCCAGCTGCTGTTCTACAGCTGTTTGAGCTCAAGGAAATGCAAACTCATGTCTGTTCTTACTGGTTGTATATAAGTTTACTTATAAAAAAAAGCAAGTGTTTGATATGTTTATACACAAGTGTGACTGAAGCATTCTGGCACTTACTATCTTGATTCTATATTGGCCCTTGTTGACTAAATTGAACAAATCTTCATTGTCTACCAGTAAACTTAATTTATTTAAGCTAAGAACCAATTTATCTTTTCATAGTGTGGTTGGCTTTGAAGCACAATCTGTCATAAACATAAAACACTAATTTGATATATAAGTTCTTTGAAAGTTTGATGTGATCCAGTTTTGAAAAACTGCTTTTTTCTGCCAAAGCTGCACCTGGCATGTGCACACATTCATATTTAATAAGAATGGAGAGTGCTACAAGTTTTTTAGTTAAGTTCACTATGGAAGTTGTAAGTATACACTTTTCCATAAAGGATGCTGATCATTCTGTATTTGCATGCAAGTTTTACAAATTCTTATGTTCTTGACTTTACTGATGCAGATATGGAGTTCCTGGAAGTCTTGACTGAAGGTTTGGAGAGAGTGTTACTTGTTAGAGGTGGTGGTCGTGAGGTCATCACGATTTATTCTTGATTCAATGCAGCCTTCTGTGCCAGCCCACATAGACATTCTTCTTGAGAATGGACATTCCAGTTTTGAATGGAGGACTGCATAAATTCTCTTCCTAATTCCCTTCAACCTGTATATCTTAGTACTGCTTCCACCAATTTCATTTTCAGTGACTCCTCATTTGCAACTTACATATCTTTTGGATTGCAGTGTTGTTACACTATCCAACAGGCAACTCAAGTTAATCGTGAATCTATGACATTACTCAGTTTCTGCTTTGATACTTTGCCATTTGTTCTTGGAGTTTTAACACTAAACCTATTTTTAGACCATATTTGCTAACATGTAGTATTTTAGTAACTGTAAAGTTAGGAATTGACAGTCAGTTACTGTAAAAAGATTTCAAAGCTTTTATATTGGGTTTGGGGATAGAATTACATTATAGAGCAGGTAGTTTATGCTGATGTTCAGCTAAAATACATTTTTCTAAACAGAAAGAAAAACTAGATTGTAAGAACTGCCTGAATGAGCTACAGTTTTCTGGGTTTATTTCCAGAACTAAGTTTCAGTATTGGATCAGAATTTATACTTGCAATACATTTATTGATATAGATTTAAATAAATTATGTTGCCATAGTTGATAATTATGTATGTAGCTTGCTACAAAACATTGCGTTCCTTCTGAGACTAAAGGTTTTGGGAGGCAGATCCCTATTTATTTTTTATATTTATTGGTCCTAAATATTGGAAACATAGGTGCAAACAATCTGGGAGTTTCATAGAGAGGTTTCTTTAGTTTCATACAGCCATTGGTTCAATGACCAGTCCTTGCAGTTTTTCCCTGTGTTAAAATCCTTGCAAACCATCATTGTATGACTTGCAGTGCATAAAACTTGTTGAAATTCAGCACACGGAAACAGAAGTGTTGCACTGCACATGCTGTAATGGCATTGCACTTGCACAAACACGGGGGACCTGCTGCTTCATTGTAAGGTTTTATGTCTTAAAAAAGAGAGGAAAAGCCAAACCTCCTATTAACCGGTAAGTCTCTGGAGATTTTATCAAACCCAATCACAGTGTACTTTTCTGCACAGAATGTCCATATTTTTTTCAATAAAATGTTGCATACACATAAAACTATGTCCAGTTGTGTTTATGTACTGAATTAACTAACATATACGCATACCTGCCCTCTGCTGCGTGGGACTGGAATTGCTAAAAGACAGTTGTGTAGTCCAGAGACAAGTGCAAAAATTGTCATCCCAGCTACAGTATGATTGCTGCCCAGGAACAAGTTTCAAAAGAAGGTTTAATTGTCCATAACTGACAACTGTGTGCCAACACCAATGGGAGGGATGTTGGTGTCTGTCTTCTCACCTTAGACTATTAGTGGCTGGTATATTGTGAAGCATTATGCTTCACCCATTTTTATTTAAACTGTGTAGTGATGAAGATACATAGTTGATGATCCATCCACTAACACCTATGAAACTATAATAATATAAATGGCTCAATATTTAATGACTAATATTTCTCAACACTTGGAGGAGAAGGTGATTAGGAACAGTCAGCATGGATTCACCGAAGACAAGTCATGCCAGACCAACCTAATGGCCTTCTATAATGAGGTGACTGGCTTTGTGGACTTAAGCAAGGCTTTTGATATAGTCTCCCACACCTTCTTGCAGGCAAGCTAAAGAAGTATGGGTTGGATGAATGGACTGTAAGGTGGATAGAAAATTGGCTGGATTATCAGACTCAGATGGTAGTTAGTAGTCAATGGCTCAATGTCTAGTTGGCAGCCAGTATCCAGTGGAGCACCCCAGGGGTTGGTCCTGGGGCTTGTTTTGTTCAATAGCTTCATCAACTATCCGAAAGATGGGATGGAGTGCACCCTCAGCAAGTTCGCAGATGACATCAAGCTGGGGAGAGTAGTAGATACTCTGGAAGGGAAGTGGGCGGCTAGGAGATCAAAGGAAGAGATTATTTCCCTTTATTTGGTACCGGTGAGACCACATCCTGAGTGCTGTGTCCAGTTTTGGGACCCCCACTACAGAAAAGATGTGGACAATTGGAGACAGTGCAGTGGAGGGCAATGAAAATAGTTCAGGGAATGGGGCACATGACTCATGAAGAGAGGCTCAGGTAGCTGGGCTTATTTAGTTTGCAGAAGAGAAGACTGAGGGTGGATTTAGTAGTAGCCTTCAGCTACCGGAAGGGGGGTTCCAAAGAGGATGGAGCTAGAGTGTTCTCAGTGGTGACGGATGACAGAACAAGGAGCAATGGTCTCAAGTTGCAGCAAGGGAAGTTTAGGTTTGATATTAGGAATAACTCTCACTAAGAGAGTAGTAAAACACTGGAACAGGTTACCCAGAGAGGTTGGGGAATATCCATCCTTGGAGGTAAGATGCAGCTAGACAAAGCCTTGGCTGGAATGATCTAGTTAGGGATGGTCCTGCTTTGATAAAGGGGGCTGGATTAGATGACCTCCTGAGGTCCCTTATAGCCCTCATTTTCTATAATATGATTCTGTAATAACAGGTTCCTTGTACAATGTGTTAAACTAGAGCTGGCTGGCAATTCAAAATTTTGTCTGAAAGTATCAGTTTGTTAAAATGCAGTCGTGACAGTTTAGTTTAAACTTTAATCAGGGAAGTTACTGAGGTCCAGGGTAGAATTCTTAGTCAAAACTAGAGACTGACTGGAGTAATGAATTCCCTAATGATCTGGGCATTCACTTGGGATGTGGATGCATAGCTTTAGGTCCTCGTGCTGTCTGATTTAAATCATAAACTTGAACCTGAGTGTCCCATGTCTCAGGTAACTTTCCTGACCACCCATGTATGGGAGATGAAGTGAGAGCTTTTCAGTGTTCATGGAAAAGCAAAGAAGCTTTTGGTTTTGTTCCAGAAAAAAGCAAGAAGTCTAATTTTTATGAGATGGGAAGATGATTATCTGCTCAGCTCTACTTGAAAACATAGTAGCTTCTAAATGTATGCTCCACTAACTTGTTGGCTTCCCCCTCTTTCTAGACTAAGATAAGGTTTATGTGCAACTTCCCAATGATCAGATATTGTCACTCATCTGTTTAGAATGACATCTTTTCATGTTTGCTAGTTAGTACTAAAATATGTGGAATGTGGGAGGATCATATTTCTTTTGTCTCTAATAATTGGCCTTGTCATGGTTCAAAGCATGGCAAAAACGTTAAGTCTGACATGGACACAGAACTATATTCAGTGCCATTATTTCACTTGTACTGATTTGCTATCATCTCCTTTTTCTTTTTTGTTTGCAGAAACTCTTGCTCATGTCACTTATCTCGGAATGACCCAAATTCATCTGATGGGTTAGCTTATTCTTACAGCATCAAAGAACCTCTTCAAGGGACCCCAGCCCTCTGCAGAGATATAGGGCTTACTGTTTAAACCATCCCAAAGATGTTCATCCAGCCTTCTGGAAAAGAAAGGAGATTCCAAAAGCAGCTTGTTCCATTGTTCTACTATATAGGTAGGAAGTTGGTTCTTCCCCATTTCTCTTGCTTAGGTTTAAACTAAATCTGCTTTGCCATGGTTTAAACTCATTGCTTCTTGGGAAGAGAGAACAGTGCTGCTTGGTTTTTTTTTATTTGCAACCTTTTACTACTTTGAAAACTGATCTATCATTTCCCTGTCCCCTTTAATCTCCTTTTTATCCAAAATAAAAGTCCCTAGTTTTATTCAACCATTTTCTTTTGTACGCTTGCATTCCAGAGTGTCTGTCGTCTTTGTCTCACCTCTGGATTCTCTACAAGTTTCTCTGTCTTTCTTAAAATGCAGTCCCCAGTATTAGATATTGTACTCCAGCTGAGGCCTAAGCCAACTAGAGGGGTGCCATCTCCTCTTAAGTGTGGCACACAATGCTTCTGGTAATGAAATTCCGATTTTCACTTGCTTTTTTGTTGTCACATTACCACACTGTAGGGTCACGATGACCCCAGTTCCTTCTTGGGAAGGCTGTCCTACATTCTGTATTTGGCCCTGATTTCTCACTCCTGGGTGTAGTACTCTAATATTTATCTTCGAATTTTGATTAGTTGTCTTTATTCCAGTTCTCCAATTTATCAGGAGGTCTTAAAAATGTAAGCCAATCATCCAAAGCATTTGCCATTCCTGCTAGCTCTCTATTCTTGTTTCCAAAGCATTAACAACATTGTGAAACAACACTGGGCCCAGAACGGCCTGTTGTGAAACCCAGCTGAGTTTTCCTGCCAGTCTGATAATCCAGCTCAACTTTACTCAACTACTTATAACGTGACAAGATGGCTTAGTCTGGGATAATCCTGCCTTGATCAGGGGTCTGATCAGGATGACCTCATGAGGTCCCTTCCAGCCCTATTTTCCTATAATAGGCAATATAGGCATATATAGATAATATAATAGGCATTATCCAGCCCTCTGCAGCCTTGCCTGTTATCTGTGATTTAAGCATTTTTGCAGGTTTCCAAGTTTCTTCAGTTAGCTCCTTCAGCATGCTAACATGAATTTGGTCAGATCCTGCTGACTTTACTTCAGATTTGTCAAAGGTTCTTTGACATTGTTTACTTATGATCTGCATTCCATCCTTTCTTGTTTATATTTTCTTTGCTAGTTATCTGGTCATGGTTTATTCATATAAACCCTACCTGTAACTTTTAACTCTCTACATTTGATCTCTCCCAGTTCCCATACTCTCCAAACAGCAGTTTCCTCAAAAATAACTGTACCTTAATGGACCTTACACTTACAGAAAAAGAATAGCTTTGGTTCTTCCAGTGGAAGAGAAGAGTGCAAGGGGATGCACTCTTGAAGGATACCAGCACAAGTAAGCTCCCTGCAAGAAAACACCCAGGAAGAAAAGACCCCAGGGCCTTTTTTTGTACTGGAGAGCTGATTTTCTTCCCAAGCCATTTGAACTGCAAGCCAGACCCCGCAGCCATAAATCACAAAACCATGCAGGAAACATTATAAGAGACATATTATAGAACCTAGTAGAGAGAATTTGTGCGTGCTTGGGTATTCACTTTCTTGCATGTCTGGTTACCTGGTGTTCATATAAGTGAGGGTGTCCCGCATTTTTATTATGATTTGAAAGGATGAATTTTGCTTTATAGATAAAGTGTAAAATATCTGTAAAGAGCTCTTCAGATGAAAAATGTGAGACCTGGGTGTTTTGAATTTAAGACACTCAAAATAACCATCCCTTACTTGCAAGCACCTCATTAGAGGGGCAGTTTTCTTGGTAGCATCAACTTAGTTGTTAGAATGTCATAGAACATAGGAGGGATTAACTTTTGATGCCACCACAGATCATCATATATATATTTCAAGTGTAACCACACTCGAAGAATCAGATGTTAATGCTTGTTCATTATGAAAGAGAACGTGTTCCTATGACATTTGCTTTATTCAGCTCTACATTCTTTAATGACTTCAGTGCCATCTACTGCACAGTCATATATAAAGGTGTGGGCCTTTATTCTCAATGTTTAAAGTTGGCAGCTTGTGTTATACTGCACCCCACTTGAGCTATGTTCTAGTGCATATGAAGGAGCTACTCTGTGCAAGGTAGGCTGTGCAATGTATAGATATATCTAGATGACTCTGAAAGTTTGGCCAGACCTACACATGAAATTTAAGTGACCAAATTAAAACAACAGTGCATCTTGCACAAGAATGACTGGGACCATGTAAAATAAAGCAATCCCAATTGGTTTAATCTCCTGTGCTAGTTGCAAGTGTACCCACTGTTTTATTATGTTAAACCATTCATAAATAACTGCATATCCCTTTGTGACTGTATCTTCTTGTTTACAAATGCTCCCTTAAGATATATTTCTCAGAACACAGATTCAGTGTCTGTCTGGGGTTTTGCAAATGTCTCCACAGACCATCACTGGTGCAGACTATTGTGGATTCTGCCCCATTGTTAAAGCCGCTACCCAAAACAGCATCTTGTGATCAGTGCCTCAACGTATCCCGTTCAGTCAATCAAGACCCCTCCC